CGATGCCATCATTATGCTTTGCAACAATAAGGTTGTGAAGGTCTTGAGAGAGCTCTTTACTTTTACCCATCATCAGATGTTTTTGTGTGATTCCTCTGTAAAGAATTGGCTTGGTTGGTTTGAACCCCAAGATGCAGGACTGAGTGAGGGTGGCAAAAAAGATGTATTAAGGCAAAAACAAAAGGTGCTGGCAAGGCAGCAAACAATAACAAAGGGTATGGGCATGAACAAGAATATCCAAACAAGAGCAAGAGAACACGAGAACAAGGAACAAGAAAGCGAACAAGGATCTGACACCAGACTGAGACAAGACAGGACTTAAATACACTGACAACTAATGGACAAACTGAGAACACCTGGTGAGAAACACGAGGGTGACTAATCAGACAAATAAGGGGCAGCTGGGCTGAGACACACTGGGGAACATAGAAACACTAGGAAAACCAAGGTGAAAACTGACAAATCATGACAACCTGGTAGAGAAATTATACACAGGTAGTCATCAAATGACGTCACACAGTGACAGGTACCACGCCCCTTTAGGGCGGGATATCTGTATATGGTCAACTTCCGGTCATTCCTTCCTGTAGGATGTCCATATATGGTCAACATCTGTTTCGTGACTTCCTCTTTTGATTTACCGTAACTATCCCCCTCCCTCATCCCCCTTGACTTCCAGTAACCCATAACCCACCCTTTCCCCCCTCGATTTACCGTAACCCTAGCCCCCCTCTTACCCCCCTCGAATTACTGTAAGCCTTGACCACAACATCTTGTTTTTTGTCCAGATGTCTTTATTTCAAAAGAGTTTGAGCTGCCATGAAGTCTATTCTGCTGACCGCAACATCCTGTTTTTCAGCAGGTGTCCACACATGCCATCTGTCTGTTCCCCCTCCTTCTCCTCAACCCCCTCTATTTACCGTAACTCTAGCCCCCTCTTACCCCCCTCGAATTACTGTAAGCCTTGACCACAACATCTTGTTTTTGTCCAGATGTTTTAATTGCAAAAGAGTTTGAGGTGCCATGAAGTCTATTCTGCTGACCACAACGTCCTGTTTTTCAACAGGTGTCCACACATGCCATCTGTCTGCTCACCCTCCCTCTCAGGGTTAGTGACTTCCTGCCAGATGGTGAAACTTATTGTCCAATCAGTGGATAGGGTTAGACTTTAGACCTAACCCTCAGCCAATCAGATCATGTTTAAAGCATTAATTCCTGCCCCTCCTCGGTTCTCGAAGCGTTTAAAAGAACGTGTCTCGTTCATTCCATACCACCGTCGGCGACAAGGCATCTTCAGCGTTCCTGACCCGTCACGACTTCCATCAGCGCAGACAAGACCCCCCCGGCACGACCGCCCCTGCAGCTGAAGTAAATATTTAAAGGTTCGTATTTATTTATTTAATTCTGTTTAAAGTATTTATATTGTTTTTTAATTGCACTCTGTCAACAGCGAGAAGAGCCGTCACTCTGTTCAACCAGCAGCGTTACGCAGCGCTAAACTTAAAGTAAATTTAAAGGTTTGTATTTATTTTGTTTAATTCTGTTTAATGTATTTATATGTATATATATATAAATAAATGTACTCTGTCAACAGCGAGAAGAACCGTCACTGTTCCACCAACAGCTAAACTTAAAGTAAATTTAAAGGTTTGTATTTATTTTGTTTAATTCTGTTTAATGTATATATATTTAAATGAAATGTACTCTGTCAACAGCGAGAAGAACCGTCACTCTGTTCCATCAACAGCCAAACTTAAAGGTTTGTAAATGTGTTTTTATTTTGTTTAATTATGTTTAATGTAATTTATGTAAATATATATTTTTAAATGTACTCTGTGTGTGTTACAGCAGCTTTGCACGTGAGATAGAAGCGGAGTTCTCCATTTTTTTGTTGCGCAAAAACTATCAGGTCAGTAAAAAACAATTTTTATTTAGAGTTATGTTGTATTTTTTTACATTTTAAATGTTGCAAATTGATTTTAATTATTTTTATCTATCTACCTATCTATCTTTTTTTTTACAGGGAAAAAAACATGTCTAAGAGGCTCGGATCACTCGGATCAACGGTATCCGTTTCTAGACCCGAGGCTGAAGACCAGCCCGGAGCTCCTAAAAAAAATAATAGTTTATACATATTCAGAAGCCATGTTCCGCCAGAACATCTGTTACACAGAGAGTTCTCTTTAGAGAAATATGGATTCACCGCGAGCGTGGGTTACGCATTTAATTACCACAGGGAGGAGGTGGGTTTTTACCAAATTCGTGACAATGAACAGTTTTCAACTGACACACCACAGTCCATCTTATAACACGAGGACTGGCTTGTTCTAATAGCGTTACTACCACTAGACGAGTTTATTCCTAAAATGACCCCTGATGTGTCTGAAAAAAAAAAACGTATTATTATCTGGAGTAATCCCCCACGAGAGCTGAGATTGCTCAAAAAAAGCAGTTATACAAAGCTTCCTGGACCTCCGAAACCTGTCACAATGGGGTGTGGAAATTGCAGGCATGTATTTACGAAAATGACCATCTACACCCCCACAATATGTTCTTATTAGATAGTATTGATACAGATTGTGGTGCATTTCGCGTAGTTTTGTCACTGCCAGTGATTGCGTTGCACGCTATTTTTCGCGATTGCAACGTAGCTTTCGAAATGACCAATCGTTTTCAGACATGTCGCCAATGGAACGATATCGTGGCGATTAAAAAAACGTTAGATTTTAACCCATTATCTATCTATCTATCTATCTATCTATCTATCTATCTATCTATCTATCTATCTATCTATCTATCTATCTATCTATCTATC